GATGCCCTGAGCATGTAGAGAAGATACAGGAGCTCTTGACAAACGCCAGCAGATACTCCAGCCCTTAGAAGTGCATGCTTAGTCCTACATATGGATTATACCCGTTGACTGAAATCATAGTTTTGATAAAGAGCCTTTTCCACAAGGCCTTCCATGGAGGTGACCAGTTTCTAAAAGACAGCGAGAAAAAAAAAAGAAGGTTGAGGAGACTGGGAGGGAGGGGGTGGGAGAACTGTACCTTCACATGTTCCAGGCTCCAAATTTTGAAGAAATCAGTCAATGAGGTATATAGGGGAGAAGACACCAGAGTATTAAAGCATGAAGCACAAGACAGTACAAGGTAGGTCAACGAGCACTGGCTGTACAAGTCCTCTATCACAACAATCACCAAGCACTCAAAACCAAGTTTAACAAATACTTAGAAAACAAAACAGAGTAACATACAATGGATAAAATGGATCTAATAAACTCGGTTCAAGTGAGTTTTCTCTCTACTTCAGATTTCAGAGGAAAGGATCCATACACCCGAGTCTTGCACTGCTTCAGGTGCAAAACGAGGGACCCGACATTTATACTAACAATTCCATTGGCCACGTTTGCCTTTCAAGTAGGTTGAGTAGTCAACCTAATTCTTAGCTACACACTGAACGCCAAGTTCATTTTTTAAATGCCAAGTGAAATGACAAAGAGCTGACCTCATCCGCTGACATATGTGCCATCCAGCCGGTCACATCTAGATGGTGACTGATTATGTTCAGCCCACGCCAGCACTGGGTTGCCATCTCTTCCGCTTCCCCTTTCCTATCTGCCATTCGGCTTCCTCCTCGCATTTCGACCTGTCCTAGCGGCTGATTTGGAAGGCACAGAGCACTTAGTTTTCCGGTTACTTTAGAGATCTCACCGGAAAGTTGAGGCCTTCTTGTCACAGGTCAACAAATACACCCACGATGTGGCAGGCGTTATTCTAAGACCTAGGGGAAAGTCTGTCTTTACCAGGCAAGATGGAATTTAGTTCACTTCTCTTAAACTTGGGAGACTAAACACTCCGGGGAACAACTGCCCTGGTTTAGACGAAAGACACAAACTGTTCAAAGCACGCTCCCCGATGAGCTCCCACCACCAGCTCCTCTGCCCACCTCCATTCCCAAGCCACTGGGGAACTGGTTTGTACCCACAGAGGCTACTCCAAGCCTGGAGACAGCAGGGAGCACCTATTCACTGTAACGGGCACAAGACAGGACAGTAGGCTTCTCCTTTTTTTGACAGTCACTCCTGTCAAAGAGATTCCACTTTGACAGTCACTCCTGTCAAGTGAGATTCCACTTCTCTCTGAATTGGAGGAGGACTCTCTTGAGAAACCGAATTCCAATTACATTATTACTCCTTCTGCTAGAAGAATAACCCTAAAATTCACTAAAAGCAGTAACGGCAAGCAGAGAAAGAGCTAATAAGGTATTTCAAATTACTATGTATCTATTATCCAACAATTCCACATAGACTCAAAGTCATAGTCGCACAGTTAAATCAACAAGAAAAGACTATTAAATTCTTAATTCAGAGATTTATCCAGCATAGCATTTTTACGTGCTACAGTTTCTGGGATTTTTGTTTATTACCTGGGAATCCCATCAACAGTAGTAACAGACAATAGTCCTTAGTCACCTAGTCTCCTAGAAATAAATGAACATAAGCATTTTATCATCCTCTTATTTTAAACATGATGCCACCTGTCTATTCTGGCTCCAGTTAAATGAGAAAGTAGAAAAATGGAGTATGAGTAGAATAAAAGATTACGGGAAAAACGAGTGCATAAACAACTTCTCTCTGTTGATTTATTGTGAAGGGACATTTACATGTTCTTCCATTAAATTAATTACAAATCAGTAAATGTGCATACATACACCTCAATTTTGGGAACAGATCGTCCTAAGTAACTGAACATTTACCAGAGGATTCAAGTGGAGAGGAGAGAAAGGTCAAATACACTAGTCCGATAACTCCTCTAAAAGTTACGTAGACTTTAACAGCCACATACGAGGAACCAGGTATGCAGGAAGTTTTAGCTCAACAAGGATGACTTTTCATAACCTCTCTTCTCCCGACCCTACACCTGTGAGTTACCTTGAGCAACAATGTTATAAAAATGATAACCCAACTTTGATTTAGAACACCTTAAATGCGATGAGGTAAACTTGGAAACTAGAGTGCTCTCAGGTATAAGCCTGAACTGTTTCAGGAGACAGAAGCAGGCGATGGTTAAGAATCTGTTATAGGTGGAGCCACACTGCCAGGGTTTGAATCCTGGCCATCACTTGCTAGCTGGAAACTCTGAGCAAATTTCATAACTATTCTGAGCGTCACAGAGTGGTGGTTGTAAAGCTTACATAAGATTGTCTGTGGGCAGTGTCTCTGCATCTAGCACCACGAAGAGAACTCAAATGCCCACTGTTGCTGTGGCGGGGACAGCACTGGGTGCTATAGGCACATAGGACAGCACCCACCCACCCCAGGGAGGCAGGTAAAAGGACATTTGCAAATTAATAATTGTGCCAATCAAGAATTTCTACTTAGCTAAAACACGTGGTACCAAAATTTACATTTTATTTGGTATTTAATCCATCTCACAGAAATGTACAAGTAGAAGTATAAAGTGGGGCAAACAGGCTGGCAAAAAACATCAAAGATGGACCTCTGGTTTTAAGCTTTCTGTTGTGTGCATGTATTTTTAATTGCAGTGTTTGTTGTTTTTTTACCTAAGCCCTTGAATTTTTTAAAAAAGGAAAATATTTCTCTTTAAGGTGACATCCAGCACACAGAGAAGTGCAGCTACGTGCTCCTCTCCCCCAGGCCCACACTGCCCACCGCCCACAACCCCTCCGCTCACTGCTCAGCTCCTTGAGAGCAAAGGCCTTGAAGGCACTGGTTCTAGAATAAGCTCGTATTCCTCGGCACCCTTTGCAGCCCGCCGGGAATGTGTGCACCCCTCAATCCTCATCGCTCCACTTGCCGCCGACCAGCCGCCGGGTCACTCGCTGTTCTGATACGCCCACTCTCCCCTTAAACAAAGAAGTGCTCACCAGGTAAACTCACCTGCCTGCCTAGTGTGGTACCTGTGACCACCCAAGGGGACAGGCCGAAGACAGTGTACGGAGGGTGAGAAACATCTACTTCATACATAAAGTCATCCTCGAAGGGAATCCATGATATGGAGGAATACACACCTTTTAATTAGCAGAAACGTCTAGGCAGGAAGTGCGGGATCTTGTACAAGTTTGTATGTGACTTGGGTTCATAAAATGGGGATAAAAATAACTATCTCATAGTATAAGGTAATGATAATAGCAGCTAACTTTTGAGTGCTTACTATGGGCCATGCAAGGTTCTAAGCCCTTTACACGTAATAAATAAAGACACAAGCAGCACTCAAAAATATTAGCCATTACCATTATTTCTAAACTTTTTGTTTAGCATTAGACTCTTCTCAAAACAAAATCTTACCCAGAACAGCATATCAAACAGGCGGAAAAAAAAAAAAAAAAGCAGAGCTGCTCCGTGTACAGCTGGAGTGGGGGGACCTGACTGATGGTCCCCCATTCCACGCTGGGCATTCCTGTACCCCCAGGCCAGCCGGTAGGGACCCCCCCAGAGTCCTGCAGCTCCTGAGAACATGGTTGGAAACTCGCAGTCTTGTCTCTCCCCTCAGATTTCCACTAAACAGATGGAGACGGACGGCAGTGAAGAACCACAACAGAGCCCGAACTAACGGGAACAGTTAATGACTCTGAGGCTGGCCAGAGGAGCCAGGAGGAGTGTGGGGCACACACCCCCTCCTCAAACGCCAGACTGCCAGAGGTGTGCTGAGAACTGAGCTTATCCCACACTGGGTGTGGGTCTTCCCGCGTCCTCCTCTGTCCCCTCTGGGCTTCAGGGCATTGTATCAATGAACTTTGGTGCCTCTTCCCTGTCTAATATTCTGATTCTGACAGTGTCTTTTCCATAATATTATGCACAGATGTTTAGTTCATGATGCTCAATATCCAAACACTTAAAAATAGTAAAAATGGCTACCAAAAACTTCTTCCCATCCCTACCCATTCTGTGGGTTTCCTCTGCTGCTGTTTATTGTCGAGTGTTACCTGTTATCATTTGCCATTACATCAAAAGTGAATCTTGGTCTCTCTCTTACCAAAACAATTAGGGGTAGGTAGAAAACCTATCCCCATCCTAGTTTTGGCAACTGATTTTAAAACTTTTTTTTTCCAAACACAACCAGCAAAGAAGGGAAACTATGTTTCGAAGTCCTCGGAGGTTATGTTTTGGAGAAAAAAGTTTTCCATAATCTGATCCTTGAATTACATTCTTCCACTGCCACACACCAACTGCATGCCCCACAAGCTGGAGAGGAGGAAAGAATTCTCTCTGGGCTCACAGTGCTGGCACACCTTGCACTTGGGGCACTGGAAGGAAAAATTCCTGGTGATTATGTTAAGCCCAGAGTAGGCACCTTTCTGCCTCCCAAACCAGCTTTTTCCTCCCAAACCTGCTCTTACCTCCATCTCTGACTTTGCTTTCTCTGCCAAAACAAGGCAGGGAGAAGGGAAGCAAATCACATAATAAAAAGTTCAAAACAATACACTCATAGGAAATATTTGGGTAATTCTATAATAATCCAACGTGCAGAAAGATTGAAAAATGAGTTCACTGTCCAAACTGTTGAGAATAGGAGGTAAGTCAATCACAGAAAGCTAGACTGGGAGGGGCCTTATGGATCAGCTAGCCCAATGCCCTCATTCTATGGATGCGGATACGGAAGTGCAGAGTGGTGTGGCTTCTAGGCGCACAGTCCTGGGCAGAATGACGTCCAGAGCTCAAGTCCTGACTCCCAGAACAGCGCTGTTTCCACGACACCCAACAGCCTGCTGTGTGAATCAAAAGCTGGAACCACGAACAGCAATAAGCGGTCCCAGCACCTGCCAACCTCCCATAAATGCTGCGGTCACTGGAGCCCAAACTCTGTGAACAGGCATGCTCCCCAAATTCACCGGCGGGCTCACGCCCCTGGGGTGGCCACCAAGACACACAGAAACGGGAATGTGCTCCCAACTGAGAAGCAGCGATGCTCATCTTCCTCGGAGCTGGGAACCGAGGGCACAGCTGAAGGTCTGGGAAGGAAAACACCCTGCCCGTCTACCCTGCCCGTCTACGGTGAGGCCCCAGCCACCGCCGCGGAGGGGGACACGCCAGGACACAGGCCCCCCACCCCCACCCGACTTCAGCGACGGGGCTTGCGCGCGCGACCTGTGCCATCCTGCGCCGCTGCTTTTGTCCCAGGTGACACTTTTGTTTAAAAAAGCCAGTTTTCTCTTTGTTCAGCGAGTCTCGATTGCCGCGAAGGTGTGGGCCACATCCTCTGCCAGCAAAGCGCGAAACCCGTCAACTTCCCTCCGACAACAATCGAGCGCTCAGAGGGGACGCCGAGGAGGGGACACTGCCGCCCCTCGGCGGAGGGCCCGACCCCAACCGCTGCCTGGCCCCCCAGCCCGGCCCAGCCCAGCCCGCAGGACCGGCTTGCTGGTGCCAGGACCCTGCCTCCCCCGCCTTGGCGGGTCGCGCGCTGCCTCGACCCTAACAGCTCTGCCTCCGAGGGCGTGGTTCCTTCTTCAGATGCCGCCCCCGTCCCCCGACGGCTGCTCCGACCCTGCAGGGGGCGTGTGGGGGGCAGCCCGACAGCCCCCGCCCTGCAGGGGCGCACCGGCACCTGGGGCCCCTCGGAGCGCCGCCTCGCACCCCAAGGCCCGGGCTGCGCCGACGGCCG